GAATTCGAACCCAGGACCTTCTGCCTAGTGCGCGAACGCCTAACCTCTGGACGACTGAGCCGTCATCCAAGGGTAATAATGTCCAACTCTGATAAAACAAAGGATTCCATGCAACCTCATCAATTGTCTTCGGTAGTTACTGCCTAAATCCGACAGGGTTGAACTCCGCTGGTCACGTTTATTGGTGGTCTAATAATGATTCATTCATGATGTCAGAGATGACTGAACGGAGAAGCATATTTGATGTCTATCAAAAAAAGAGTTGATTTTCTAAAGGAATAGCGTCTTGACAGAAACATTAATTGTGAACACATGTGTCCGTTTATGATTTAATGTAGTTAGTTCCCCAAATGTTTGACTTCAACCCCTAACTGATCTCAGCTTACAATGATTAAACTTATCAGTTAACGAAAAAATAACTGAAAATACATTTTAAAAAATTAGCAGTCCACACTGTTTTTAATTATCGAAAAAAAAAAACTTAAGACATAACATACCTTCAACTGGAATCGAACCCAGAACCTTCAGTCTCACGTGCGAATGCTTAGACTCTAGATCACTGAGTTGACATCTATCTAACGATGTTCATGTACAATCTTAATTAATGCAATATGTCGCACGACCTCATGGCTCACTAGTGAAAAGCTTCATGAGGACACTATGAGTTTTAGTGAGAAGTCGTGCGTGATCAGTGCAGTTCAATGTTGCTGGGTCTAGGAAGCTGCTGTCTAGCAAAGACAAAGTTTACAAAATATCTTTCATTGATTAAAATTACATATTAACACTGATGGATGCGTATGCCCAAACACCGACTGCCTCATCGAGCTTTGTTTTGTAGTGTTGGAATAGGTTAGAAGAAAGTTAGGGGCGGCCAAACCAAAATATGGCAGAAATCCATGAAGTCATTGACGAGTGGACTTAGCCATGTCGGTAATTGTCGACTACCTGGTTGGGGTCCGCGAGATCATAATAATCAATTGTTAGAGACCTTGAATGACATGGCTCAAAATCGTTCGCAATGGCGCCGGTGCATTTATTCTTTGTGTTCTCTCAAATCCTAATCTTCTGGATTCTTCAACACCTCAAGTTTCGACTTTCTAAACTTTTCTCATTTAATCATACTCCTTGAATAATATCTTCTAATCCTAACCTCTCCGATTACTTCTAATACCTTTACTACCTCTTCTACTATTGGATTTGAATTGAAAATTACATCTCTGTGCTGATGTGGTATGGCGACATGAACTGATGTACTTACGTACGAAGTTCTACGTTGCAACTGACTGACTGACTGACTGATGGATGCTGATTCAATGGTCTAAAACGTAACCGTTCGCGTGCGAGGCTGAAGGTCCTTGATTCCATGGGGTAGTGGTGTATGGGCACTACTGAATAATTCATACTAGGACTGTATATGTGAGAACTGAATTCGTTACTGTTATTAAATACTTATGATATTTTGAAATCATGAATCGATCAATGTGAGACCACTACATTAGAAACCTGAAACCACTGGATGGCCATTTTGTCCCAGTATGGGACACATCAGCAGAGCGCGTCCACGACTCCCACTGCCTCACATGAATTCAAACTATGATGTACTCATTAATAACTAGCTACGTGAGGAAGTATTGCCAAGTTCCAGTGAGAATTCGTAGCCAATGGTACTAAACCCTGTTCGACTATGAAGCAATGCTCACCGAAGACAGTAGATTAATCAGATTTGGACGTTAACACCATTGGATTCCGGTTCATTGATTCACAGGTTAAGCATTCAAGCGCAAGATCATAAAGAAAGGTCTTCGGTTCGATTCCTGACAGTAGTAGGAGTCGTGTATGTGCACTGCCATTGATGAGTCTCATACTACTAGAATGAAACAGCCATCTAATGTGACAGTCTAATAATGATCGATTTTATGATTTCAATGAAACTTAACAATCTCCACAACCCAATAATATAAAAACATATGATACTTATATTATTAATACTACTGTTATCTTTATATGGTCGAGTGAGAGCTTATAGCGAACTATCACCGGAATTCTTTACTTCAAGTGGTGTCCGTCAGGGATGTCCACTCTCTCCATTCTTGTTTAAATTTTATCATAGACATGCTCTTAGAAATAACCTTATCCTCGTCTGAATTTTCAGGAGTAGACCTTTTTACCAGGTGGCTTGCTTATTGACTTAGAATATGCCGATGACATAGTCCTACTTGGTGAAGACGCTGACAAAATGCAGAGTCTTCTGACTACCCTAAGCAACAATGCAAGCAAGTTCGGGATGCGGTTCTCACACTCGAAATACAAAATGTTGCTTCAAGATTGGGTTGCATCGGCACCTGATATAGTGATAGGGAGTGAAGTAGTCGAACGTGTAGACCGCTTCACTTATCTTGGGAGTCTCATCAGTGCTGATGGCCTGGTGACTGACGAAATCTCAGCACGGATACAGAAGGCTCGATTGGCTTTTGCCAACCTGCGTCACTTATGGCGTAGGCGAGATATCCGTTTGCTGACTAAAGGGACGAGTGTACTGCGCAGATGGTTCGCTCCGTCTTACTTTATGGCTGTGAAACATGGCCAATGAGAGTAGAAGATACTCGTCGGTTGATGGTTTTCGAGCATAGATGGCTTCGCAGCATTGCTCGCATATCGGGGGACACAACGAGTGAGCAACGCTGTTATTAGGAAACGGGTACTAGGTAAGAATGGCAGATCAATTGATGAAGTATTGAAACTTCATCAGTTGAGGTGGTTGGGACACGTGTTGCGTATGCCTAACCACCGACTGCCACGTCGAGCTCTGTTTTTTAGTGTAGGAATAGGTTGGAAGAAAGTTAGGGGCGGCCAAACCAAAAACATGGCAGAAATCCATGAAGTCATTGACGAATGGACTTAGCCATGTCGGTAGTTGTCGACTACCTGGTTGGGGTCCACGAAATTTTAGTTATCGATGGTTAGAGACCTTGAATGACATGGCTCAAAATCGTTCGCAATGGCACCGGTGCATTTATTCTTTGTGTTCTCTCTCAAATCCTAATCTTCTGGGTTCTTCAACAACTCTAGTTTTGACTTTCTATACTTTTCTCATTAAATCATGCTTCTTGAATAATATCTAATCCTAACCTCTCCGATTACTTCTAATACCTTTACTACCTCTTCTACTATTGGATTTGAATTGACAATTATATCTCTGTGCTAATGTAGTATGGCGACATGAACTGATGTACTTACGTACGAAGTTCTACGTTGCAACTGACTGACTGTTATCTTTATAAGTAGTATTCGTAACAGTATAATAAAATGACAATAATCATACACTCTAATAACACTTACCATTAATCCATTTTCTTGTAAAATTGTTAAATTTTTACGAAATTTATTTAAATCTAATGGAGGATGTGTTAAAAATCCTGGCAATGTTCTACGTCGGACAATTCCTTTAGATGATTCCATTGGGGCAACAGTCTTTGAAGTAAATGGTAATGTGGAAAGTTTTGTATTACGATTGAATTGTTTCAAATGAACGCCATACTCATCATCATCATCCTTATCATCATCATCGCCCTCATTATTATTATCATTAACATGTACAGGGATGTTATCGTTAGATTCAATGAATCGCCGCTCCGCGGAATGACGTGTTGTATGGGGAGTAAGAGGATGAGGCGAAGGATGATCCTGAGGATTACGTGTCATTTTGTAATGACCAAAATAATCATCCATCACAGATGTATTGGACATTAATTTATTCAATGGTATTGTCGGTGCTGGTTCAGATGGAGGTTTAAGTAGATTAACTGACAGGATGAAAAAAGAAACAAAAACGGAAGCGATAACGATTAAAAACCGAATTTTTATGAGTAGAGATTCAGGTAGATTGGTATTTATTTACTGACTTACTTACTTGCTTTCATCTGTTACCCCCGTGGTGAAGCATAGGTCGCTAACTGGCATTCTCCGACCTACACTATCCTCAGGCCTTACTTTCTAACTCTGCCTGTCTTCATTTCTCGGAGTAAAGTGTCGATTGGTTCTGCTCTATTCCTTTGACCTTGAGAACTCCAAGTGACAGCTTCACTTGTGACGCAGTTGGGTACCTTCCACCTAAATCTTTTCTTCCTCTGCTGAAGTCTGATTTGTTCACTCCCACAATAGACTGTTACTAATGGTGTCTGGCCAACGGATTCGAAGTATTTTGTGTAGACAACTGTTCATAGGCACTCATATCTTCTGGATGATGGCATTCGTTGTTCTTCAAGTTTCCGCCTCATACAATAGAACTATCTTGACGTTTTTATTGAAAAGTGTGACTTTTGCGTTTGTCGACGGTTGTTTTGAGTTCCGGATGTTCTTCAATTGTAGAAATGCAGGCCTTGTTTTGCCGATCTGCTCCTTCACATCTGCATCAAATCCATCTTGCTCATCAACGATACTGCCTAGATCTGCAAAGGCTTCTCCATTAAGGGTGATTTTGTTGGTGCATGTTCTGTTGTATCGGAGAATGTTGCTTCTCCGTTTGTGTAAGTCTAGACCTGCTTCTGCTTCTGAGGCTGCTGCTACAATGGTTATCCTTTCTTGTATTTGTTGTTGCGTGTGCGATAGAAAAACCATATCCTCTACAAAATGAGAATCATCCATCTGCATCCTAGTTTTCCACTGTATCCTCAGCTTCTCTTCAGATGTTGACGTCTTCATAATCTAGTCGATCACCAGTAAATTGATAAGTTTCAGTGAAATCATGAACTGATTTATATTAGACTATCAGTGAAGTCTTGAAGTAATGGACAGTTGTGTTTGTCAAAGTATGCGACTCGTCAGTGATAGTTGACATCCACGGTCGTACAAGCGGGAATCGAACCCAGGACCTCCTGTCTTACTTGTGAACTAACCTTAACCATGAGAACACTGAGAGGACATCCAACAATGTCAATCAATGTTCAACCTTAATTATTCCACCATATTGAGAGATCAGGTAGTATTCGCCACAGTCCGATTGGTGTTAGAATACCATCGAGAATCATGTAAGTGTTGGATAACTGTTTTTAGGCTTATCATAGAACTTCACTAAGAATCAAACTCCCTACTATCTGATCTAGAAACAAACGGTTGTTGTTGAAAACCATTAATTTAGCTATCTGATAAGTTCGTCACTTGGTATGCTTGAGGCTATTACGAGTTTACCTTAGTCGATAAACGCGAACGAGACTTTTACCAGCGTCCAGGTAGGCTACCTTGAATCCGAGGCTGAAGCAAAAAGGCTTTGTAAGCGTAGAAAGTATATTCTACAAACACCCAGCCAGCACACAATACAATCAAGCATACAACTCTCGTTTATTTATACAACATAGGAACGTCCTTGAGACAGTTACGAAAATAGCATACTAAAATACACAGCAGCCAATCACAGCCATGGATTTTCCTGGTGGGAATTGAAATCTCAAGGTCAAATCAAACAATCCTTCTCTCTTACCTGAAGCATGAATCAATCATTCTCGAATCATCATTAGAAACGTGAAAGTAGTGAAGGTTCGTTTCGTCCTGGTCTGTCACTCATCAGCGGTGGTGCACGTACACGACTTCTGCTAGTCTTTCGATTCGAACTCAGAACTTTCGGTCTTGCGCGCGAACACCTAACCTCTGGACCACTGAGCTGACGGCATCCTATAGTGTTAATGTCTAACTCTAATCAATATAAGGATTTCGCGTGACCTCATCCATTTGTCTACAGTGAGTAACTTCCCACACCCGACAGGGTTGACTTCGAGAATTTCCTCGCGAAGCTAATCACTATTCAGCAC